ACTTTATCACAGCGGCTATTAAACAGGACAGATCCCCTTAAGTATTACACGTGCACGTTGGAATGCAGCGGCCACAAAAATGAATTGATCTGCTCAAGTTGAAATGCAACGTTTTTACCTTATCAAAAGGCAAACAGTGGCTATTACTGAAAAGCTGGAAGAACAATTTAAGTTCAACAAAACTGCTTTTTCCTACCAAAAACAGTTCTCTCAAAATCCTGTGCTTTTTAGTGTAGAGTAGACCTAAGTAGCACCCTTATCTATAAGCCTTAAATGACCAACTAAGTAACTATAAGAACAAGTGTATGACTTTCCCTCTCCCTCACTGGGGTGCGAGCATCGTGAGAGTTGTAGCGTGCTATGAAGGTACAGTATGAGTTAATAACCATTGGCACAAAGCCATTAATAACCAATAAAACAAAATGCTTTCACAGAGCCATCGGAGGAGCTGAAAAAGCCCCTTGCAAATATTAATGAGCTAGCCTTTCTGCAGCTGTCTGCGGTAGGCTAGGCAGGAATAGTTTTCCCTATTATTATGCCCCAATACTTATGTTTCCTTGTGCTTCCCCAGCTGTTGGGCCGTATCCACCTCTTTTCCCTTGCCTCGTACCAGAGGCAAGAGCCATCACCTCACTGTGTCTCTACAGCCCCCAGCCCCATGGAGCGCAGGGGCTATGGTAATACATAAACAGGAATGATTTTGCAAAGGGGGAAACTGAGGCACGGAGGAGCTGAATGTCTCTGTGTTCCCTGGACATCAGGCATCCTGCAGTCTGGGCAAGGGGCCCGGCCAGCTGAGCTGAGTGCCCTGCTAGATAGGTTTCCTGTCCAGGGCCATACAGCTTTTGGCCGTGCTGCGGAGGTAACCGGGCAGTGCCGATTACAACAGCTGGCTCCGTGATGGGGTGGTTTGTTCACCAGGACCTGGACTGAGCCAGGGCAGCGCAAGGGTTAACGAGAGTCTGACTTATTGGCTTCCAGCCCTGGCAGGACCCGAGCTCTCGGAAAGGCCAGGGCCCGTGCTGGGATGCAAGGGCTGTCGCTGATGCGCTGGTTTGGGGTGCGGGGCTGGGGAAGTACCTGCCAGGCAAGCCAGCTGCCTCGGCCCTGCTCTTGGAGCTGGGACAGGGCCTGCTGCGGGAAGGACCGGAAAGGTCACTTCACCGCGGCAGGTACAGAGGAACTGAGTGTGCGTGTGTGTGTGTGTGTGTGCACGTGCATGTGTGCAAAGCAGCAAAGAGACTGCTCGAAGAGCTTTGTAACCCCTGAGAGGTAATCCCCTGCAGTGCCCTTCCCTCCTGTGGGGAAACTGAGGCACAGGGCAACTCAGCAATGCGTTCAGCGCTACCTCCCCATGGCTAGCAGTCGTTGGGTCTCATTCATCGGACTGTAGTGTAACAGGCACAGCGTCCCACCCTTCAGCCCCGTTTGCTGGGTCTCTGGCATCCTCTGATGCTGGGGGCAGATGGGGCAGGGTAGGAGGTCTGTCCTGGCAGTGCCAGAGAGACTGGTGAGCTATGGATCCCTGGTCCTGGCTGGGCTGCTGCAGGGTGAGCCATAGGTCTCAGCTGTCCCAGAGAGGGGGTTGTGGGGGCTCTCTGTGTGGTTTGCTGCTGGGATGCCAGGAGGAAACGATGTACAAAAAACTAGAACTCGTGGTTCCAAAATGATACCTTTTATTAGTCCAACTGGAAATTGGAGGAAACTCTGGACAGGGAAGAAAACGTGGAGGAGGAAGTCAGAAAACAAAGACCGGGCAGTGGATGGGGGGTGGGAGGGGAAAGCCTGAATGATGGTGCCTTTAATTTGGACTGGAAAGGGGCCTTCAGCTCGAGTGTTAATGAAGATCCTGACTGATGCGGAGCTGTGCCTCGGCTGTTCGGGACGGGCTGTCGGAGCAGCGCAGGTGACAGCACGCGTCAGCTCCCTTGGGCTGGTGTGGCGTGCCCAGGTGTGTCGGATGAACTCCAGGACGTCTGCCTGCACTGACGCCTCTTAGTGACAGCCCCACCAAAACTGCCCCCTGTGCCTGAGCCCCAGTCCCCCAGCTGAGCACCCAGGACGGGCGTTTCCAGAGCAGGGACTGGCCTAACCGTGCAGATAGAGACCCGGGGCAGGGGGTCAGAAGCAGCGGAGCTGTTTAGGTGTCTAATCCCTGTTGCTTTCACACCTGACCTATGGCATCTGGGGGCGGCCGGACGCCCAGGCAGCCTGTTTGGGTGCTGGCTCCGTGCCCTGAGCTGCTCGCAGGCTGCTGGTTCAAAGACGCGTGAAGCGTAAGTACAGACGGCTGTCGCTGTCGCCTCGCCCTTGTGTCCGGGGAAGGAGGCAGCCCAGTGCTGGAGCCCAGACCTGCAGCCCCCAGTGCCCCATCAAGACACTAGAGACAGGCCTGGTGCCCACCCAGAGCAGCACGCCCAGGCTGCGTGCCTCTGCCCCACGCGTGGCTGGCGTGGCATCCCCAGGGCTGCGTGCTGCTAATTGCCAGCGCCCGCCGAGGACGATCCTTGCTCTCCCTGGGAGGTGGGTCCTGTCCTCCCCAGGGCCAAGCAGTTACAGGGATTCAATTAATCTCTCATTAATTTTTCACTTCCTCAGAGAATCCTGAGCGAGAGGGAGCTTTGCTGTGGTTTAAACTGATGCCCTTTCTCTGGCGAGGGCAGCTTGCTGGGGGGAGCCGGGGGAGGGTGGGATCCATCACACCTGGAGCCCCGAGGCCCCCCCCGGCGGGTGGGGAGAGGGCACCGAGGGAGAAGGTCTAGGCATGAGTCTCCCCTCTGGGTCCCTTCTCCAAAGACCCCGACTTCAGCCCAGAGGGCTGC